GTTTGAGTGATATCTGCATTCAAAGTCAGCCCTACTAGATTTCGAGTCACAATTTAACAAATCTCCACCTTAACTTGAAATCGACCAAAAACAAGGTAACTCCACCTTGAACCAAAAACCAAGAAGTAATGCTCATATGAAAACATAGAGCCTCCACCTTAAACAAAACTCCATTAGCCTACTCACATTAGGCAATCAACAAAACAAACATCTTCCATAACTTGTGAACCGGTGCGTCTCCGAACACAAAATTCCGTACACAAAACCATCACATGGCCTAGATTGAGATTATAATGTCCCGACGCCAAGCATGCTTATCAAAAATTGACCAAACTCTCTTCAAACACTTCTTCATCTCAAAACCAAACTAAAAACTTAAGCAGTTCTAGAAAATAAAAAAATTACATCAATAATTTCTAAATTGCAATTGTACTTAATAAATCATAAAAGTACCAAAATTGAGATAAGAAATAGCATAACTAGATAAAAATCTAATGCATAACCAAGATTGTTACTTTATTACAAACGAAAATCAAAAGCAATCTATCATAGACTCTATACCAAAATCAACACGGTTTCTCGTTTCACCAAGAGATCTCAAAGGGGCACTTATCGTAAAGGGATCGTAGAAACTGCAACCCCGAAGCTCGTAACCCTAAAGTGCATAATCATCATCATCGTCGATGTTGGCAATATTTGTGGATTTGTCCTCATTGGGCTTCTCCTCATTCTTCTTCTTTTATTTCCAACACTCGGCTTTGATATGACCCTTCACATGACAATAGTTACAAACTTTTCCTTTACCAAAATTCTTATTACCACCATGAGCAACCAAAGCATTATTTTGAGCCGAATTATTAGATTTATTAACCAATTTATTGTCAATTAAATCTCTTTGGGTTAAGGTATCCTTAACATCCTCCAAGCTCAAATCATCTCTACCATACAATAAAGTATCTCAAAAGTGCATATACGAAGGCGGTAAAGAACACAACAACCTAATAGCCATATCCTCATCATCGATCTCAACATCAATGTTTTGCAAATCCATAATAATAGAGAAGAATTCATCTAAATAAGACTTGAGCGGTTTACCTTCTTCTAGATGAAGATCATGAAGTCTAGATTTGAGTAGTAGATGGTTGGTCATGCTTTTTGTCATATAAAGTGACTCCAACTTTAACCACAAACCCGCAACAGTCGTCTCTTTGGCAACCTCTCTCAAAATATCATTAGAGAGACATAATTGAATTGCCGAAAAAGCCTTCAAATCGATCTCCTCCCACTTATCCAACGTCATCCACCAAGGCTTTTGGATACACCTTCAAGAGCCTTATGACAGCCACTTTGAACTAAGATGGCATTCATCTTGAATTGCCATAGGCCAAAATTCACTTGCCTGTCGAATTTCTCAATGTCAAATTTCATTGGCATAATTTAATCAAACTAATCTATAAACACCTAAAACCTAAGACCTAAAATCTGGCTCTGGATACCAATTTGTTAGGAAATAAGGGTGTAATTGTGTTTGATTAATGTGGAACAAGTCAATGAAAAATAAGAACGAGAAAAGCAATAAAGAAGATGAACAAAGAACACAAGGATTTACGTGGTTCGGTCAAATTAGACCTACATCGTCCATGGTTGGGAGATTCGAGAGCTTCTTCACTATAATGGAGAAAGAACGAGAGAATAATACAAGGAGTCCTAAATCTAATGGCTCAAAAGGTATGATCAAATTGATCAACTAAAGGGTCCTTTTATAAATAAGGAAACCCTAATTAAACCCTAAAATTGTTCCCCAAGTATACTCAAATAGCCGTCATAAAAAAGATAAAATTTTAGAAAATATTCCATAAAATACGTAAGATTAAAACGGACCCAAAAAACCGCGCAACTCTTCCAAGCACGGACGTGCCCCTTTGGGCACAGACGTGCTATGTTGAGCACTTCGTCAGTATCGTTTCAGCTTCGTCAGGTCATCGTAAAACGGCCATAACTTTCTATTTCTTATTGGAATTGGGCATATGACCTATCGTTGAAAAACTCTTGAACCAAGCTATCACCTCAAACTTGAATCACCTCAAAATAACTTGTAGTTTGAGAGATATCTGCATTCAAAGTCAGCCCTACTAGATTTCGAGTCACAATTTAACACTTAAGTAATGATTATTTTTAGGCTAAAAATCCAATATGGTCGAGAAAATAAATGAGCCTCTACTACTAATGTCATTACTCATTAGTGTTAACCCTACTACTACATACTTGTCTTGCCACTAATGTCATTAGCATTTTCTCCTTGTCCTTTCATAACAATCTTGTCTTTTAATAAATAAAATATTGTTATAGATATTGGAAAATATGTAACAAACATGTACATAACCAAATTTTATCAAATAAAAAAGCAAGTTTTGATGAATATCTTTTCTCTTAGCTTGCTTCCCTTAGGTCTAGTCTGTATGTATGAAATAAATACAACTCTTTACATCTTTATAGGTGGCAATGGCAGGCTGTATACCGCGTTACAGATAAGATTATGAAACCACATTAATATTTCGTGTCTTCCACTTTATCCAAAACTATATATTATAAATTTAATTTAGCATACAAATTAAATTAAATCAAAGTCTTAGCTTGTTATATAAAGGTATGCATGCAATAATATTAATGATTATGAACATAACAAACAAATTCAAAGCAATCAATTAAAAACAAGCGTGTGTGAATCAATCAAAAAGCATCTTCAATCTCTCTAACCACTCAATCATTAGCAACTTAATAAACTATCTTCATTTAATCATTTATTTATTTATGTGCCTAACTTTTATTTGTCACCTTTTGACATGAGATATAATACTAAAATCCAATTTTTATATATTTGTCAGAGTATATATTATTATAATTTTAATTGGCTAAAGTCATTAAATTTGGTCACCTCCCATAAATTTTATTATATGTACTTTAATTTACTTTATTTTATGAGGAGATTTGTTGGTAAGGTAGATACTTGATTCAAGTTCTTTGTATCTTTCCAAATCTATGATATACACTTGTCAACTTTGTAGTTAATAAAGCTAAATAAACTTTGGATTAGGCTAATTTGAAGGTTTAGTTTATGTTATGGTGGTTGTCCTAGAGATTATAAATGTCTCCGACAAAATGAGGAAAAGGAGGATGAAGACAAGTTCAATATGGTACAATAATTTGCCAAGTATAAGCTAATTAAGAGTTCAATGTTACTAGAGTGACTTTGCTTCATCCCTAATTTACCAAGTATAAGCTAGTAGATTGTTTCAAATTATTTCAAGAAAGTATAAATTAATCATCTAAAAGTATATGAGTAGTAATTAAGTTAATTTTTATAATTTACATAGATTTAAAACAAATCTTAAACTATGATGTACATAATCATTGTTTTTTTTTTTCTTCTTCTTCTTCTAATTAAGATGAACTAGCACAGACAATTCTTCTTAGAAAATTAATATGGGACAGAGTAAATATAAGTAATTAGGTACATATATGTTTAAGTAATTCACGACCTACATGCTACACTAGTACACTCCACCCCCTTCCCCACTCCCAAATGCTAGCAAGCTATGTAAATAGGCAAATAGCATCATTGTAATAATTAAGAATAATGAAGTCAATTTCTTAAACTTTTCACTTAATACATAAATTAACATCAAAATTCCCTGAAATTCCGGGATTTTATCATTAATGAAAGTAGGCAAGCAAACTGATACTCAGTAAGTCAGTAGCTTATCGTTAGTTAAATGAGTGTTAATCAAGTAATCAACATCTTTTTGATGACAATGATGCATATGTTTCGTCATTTGTATGACAAAAATACTGTATTATATATCTTTATTTATAGCTGTCCAAACTATCTATCAAAGACTTAAGTATTTCAATTTTCTAATCATGGGAAGAATAAATGAATAATGTAATTTCTTGTAAATAGGAAAGAATAAAATAGAGATCGAATAAAAGTAATATGTATAATTACGTAGTCATAAAATTAAAAGATTGAGTTATACCATGTATATATTTTACATGATGTCTATTATACATACATGTATATCTAAAATGCGAGTGATATTCATGTTGTGCAAAATGGACTTCAATCTTTCCTTGCATCTTTTAGGTGTATGTATGAAATTGTAAGCCAGAGTAAAAATGAAACTTTTTATTTTTTTTCTTCTACAATTATACTTTACACATTGCATGTATCATTACTCATTTCATATACATGCATGCATTTCCCATTTTGATCATGTCTCCATTATTCTTTTATGTTTGTCCCATTTAGAGTATTCCTTTTAAAAAGAATGAAAGTTTGATCATAATAAATATTTGTCTCAATGTCTTGTATCATAGTAACGCCTCAAAACAATGTGTAGTAGGAATACAAATGTTTACACGTACTGAAATATAAATGAAACTTTATTTGACCATGATATTTTATTTTTAAATTCGTCCACGAAAATTCTATCAACAAACTTTAAAAATAATGCATAGCTAGAGTATAAATGTTTACATTGGAAACTATGTAATTAAAAAGACAACTGATAAGATAAACAAAAAGTAAAATGGACTAGATAGTATTATTACTTAAATTTACCAAACAAGATGTATAAATGTAGTTGCTCATCAAACATATAGTAAGATATGATATTGGTGTTAGAAGTCTAATTTGTTGGAATGGAGCCCATATATTAAGGTTTTTGCCTACCGTTTATCACCAAATCAACTTATGTTTTTCCTTGTCCCTACTTATTAGACAAATCCCCAAAAATAGTATTGGAGTTGTGGCTTCAAATTTTTTTGGTTGTCAACAACTTACTAATATTTAAAAAATATATAAATAAATAAATAAATAAAAACAAACAAACAAACAACAAAATTATACCAATATGGATTATTTTCTTATCATACAAATAAATGGTAACAACAATTACATTGCCAACAATTATTTGGCAATTGGCAAATGCAAATAAAAATTTAATGTCAAGTTTAATCATAATTGCACAATTCACCCATAATTGTTTTAATTCACATTTTTTTTTTCCTATATATGTGTACAAGAAGTACATATATATAGTACTATATATTTGTTAATAATTAGGGTGAGAAAATTTTACAAGCTCTCTGAAAAAAAAAAATATTAAAAAAAAGGAGAGTAAATTTAAAAAAATCCAATTTAATTACCTCCAAAAAAATTCGAAATAAAAAACATTAATTAATTAATCAATTAATGAACTTCCATGATTAATTATTAGCAAGCATAAAAGTCCACAAGCTCATTCAAAGACTCAGGTTGAGGGTCAGCATTATCAAGCATCCATAGCAAGTGCTCAAACAACACCACCTCACACCCTACCGATATCTCCTCGGCCCCGCCACCACCGGACGATCGTTCTACGAGCTCTCGAAAAAGCGGGTGTTCAAGGACTTCCGAGGTAACCATGTATCTCCTCCTAGACTTTCCTACGTAAACCGGACAAAGATTACTTGTAGAGAAAGGTTCCGGAGACGAGTCGTCGTCGTAAGAGATGTTGTTGTACTTTGTAGCAACAACGGAGGATGTTGAAGTTGAGTTTCTTCTGCTTAAACTTGTGTGATGAATATGATCATTTTCGCGGTGGTTGAATGATGTTCTTCCCATTGATTGCATTTTCTTGAGTAATTTTCCAAGTTTTCCTGCTTTTGTCATAATGTTTGGATGTTTTGAAACAAATTATGTAGGAGAAAAAATATGAGAAGACCAATACATAAAAAATTTGATTTATTTTATGGGGTTTTGGAGAATATTATTGAGGAGAAGTTGAGGAAGAATTGAGGGAGAATTTTGGGTTATTTATAAAAAGTAAGGTAGGAGTTTGGTAAGGAAGAAAAAATATTTTATTAATTTTTTGTGGGGTAAGGGATTTTATTTAATTTAATATTGTAGGAAATAATAATTAGTAGTAGTACCTAATTAGTAATTTATGGATTAGTAAACAAGTAATATAGTGGCTTTATGTCAAGTGGATTTTTCTTTATTTTAAGAAGTGGGTAGAGGAAGATAGCAAAACAATTAAGGGGGCCCCTTAATTTGTAGGACTTTTTTTTAAAAAAAAAATCATAATTTTTTTTTTTTTTTTTTGGAGGAGATTGGAAGACAATTTGTGATTGGTTGGAAACCAACAACGGTTTTGGACGTTTCGGAGCGTATTAGGCCCTTTTAGTTATATATTTTAATTGTTTGATTAAGTGCTAATTAATTTTTTGGTTGGATGGTTAAGGGGGTGCTTGATAGTGATCATTGTCCTTGAGAAAGAGAAGAAGAGTTTTAGCTATTAAATTTGGACGGTGTATATTTTATATTTTAATTTAGATTAGATTATCTTAAAGTTGATTAAATGATTTAGTGGTAATTAAATCTAAAGAGTTGATGATCCAACTGTCTAGTACTAAGTGTTACTAATAGTAAGTTTTGGAGTAAAATTTAGGTTTTTGACTACTTGATTTTGAAGTAACCTCGAGTACTATACTACTAATAACAATATAAAGTAAACTATATTTCCTCGATCTGATTTTTAAACTTTTTAATTTATTTAACGATGTACAGTTGAAATAAAATTCTGAAAATGCAAAAATGAAAGTGTATATTTAGAACTTTTAGAAGCGAAAGTAATTAAGTAGATTGTCCAAACATAAATTAGAATTGTTAATACTTAAATAAGAAAAGTTGATATTATCCTGTCAATTAAAAAAAAGGGTTATGATAATGAAAGTATATTGGTTATTTGCTAGTCATACATGCACTTTACCTGACATTAAGGTTTTGATTTGTTAATGACGTGCTCTCAAATTCTCAATTCAAGATTACGTTGTGACAAGAGGATTGTACATCATGCGTCAATGTAATCAGGAGCGTTTTGGTTAAGGAGCGTATGATACTTCTATATTTTTTTGTTTACAACGGCTCCTCAATTTATTTGGAGTACACCTGATTCAAACAAATTATATATAAATAATCTTCATAATCGAGTTGGTTGCTATAATAAATAAATATATAATTTTCTCATCGCATTTTGATAATTGAGCGTAGGAAATATAGTAAGTAGAGCTACAAACAACCCAAGACAAGCCAAGGTTTTAAGGTTCAAACCAAGTTTGGTAAAAATTACTCCCTTCAATTTTTATTTTTATTTTAATTGTAACACTTTAACCGGCATGAAATTTGTTTGAGCTTGACTTATTTAGATTTTGCTTTGTTCAACCTTAGTTTGTGATTGACTTGTTTGTATATCAATTTTGATGAGCGTGAGCTTGAACAAGTTTAATTTAAGCAATTATATAAAGAAGCCTTGAGGGTTTTTTTTATTTTTATTTTTTTTTTAAGATGATTTCTTTGAAGTTAATATGCATCCATTTAAGACATATCAATTCAATTTTTTTATCAATTATCTCTTTTTATATGCGAACATTTGAAGAAATTATATCCTATTAAAGATATACAAGGATGTTAATGATTTGTTCCCTTCACCTTATTCTTATTATAATAACTTATTAATTATTTTTTAAAAAAAAATTCAAATCACACCAAATTAGAAAATTTCAAATTAGACACCTATAAATGAAGTGAAGAAAAAAAAAACTCAGATGATTTTAAAAGTCAATTTTTTTGAATTTAAACAGAGTTAGATATATGAACAAAATTGCAAACTAACTTAATTAAAAGGGTTGTTTGTGGACATTAATGAGGTGAACATGAACTTGTTTTGAGCTTGGCTCACTCATAACAATTTTTAAGAATTTTGCTAACCCTTATTTTTCAACTTAGTTAACAAACTACGGGGTTTGGCGTGGTTAAATTTTAAGTTAGCATGATCGTGAGTAGTTCGTGAACATATCAGGCCGTTTGCTGAGCTAAAAGTCATTCAACTCTTCTAGGCTGACCATGAATAATATATATTGGTTGTTTGCAGCTCATACATGCACTCCCCTCACTTTAAGTGTTTTTTTCCCCCTTTTACGTGCTCCCACTTCAAGGTTATGCACGCAAGAGGGTTGTACATCATGCATCAAAGTCTACGGGAGCGTTAGATACTTCGATAACTAACACTTGTATTTTATTAGAGGAACTTTTTGTGCCACATCTTTTGAGTAGTATGTGCTGTCTACTTTAGTAATGCAAGTATGCGTTTTTATGCACCTTTGATGTATTATCTACCGATCCAAGGATGGGTCAATTACTACCACACATGTTTCGTTGATTTTACTCTTCATGCTAGAATTTTTCCTTGGTGTAAAGGCAATCATAAAAGATAGTAATAACGAAGATGGAATTTAATCCTACATCTTACAGTAGATACTACTTTAAAATTGTAATCTATGCAACTAACTACAATAAATGATATCTGCACTATTCTCACTAGATTCTTGTATCTACAAAAAAACGAGAATCCAGGTCACCAACATCGTACAAGTCCAACATAGTTTCAATCTAAAACTAGCTAATTGGCAGTAGTTGGATTGGCTTACTAGATTTATATGTTGGTTATGGTAATTTTCAATTGTTAGGCCGTATAATGTAAGCTAATTGTGTAATGTATAGTTAGCTCTTTGGGTTATGTGTTGATAAGCCCAATTTAGATTGTATAAATACTCTTCTCTATAGTAATACAAACCACGGAAAATTAATTATTGACATCATGGTATCGAAGCCTCTACATTTTAAACCCTAAAAACCCTAAAAAAAATTCTCTCTCTCACTAATCGACATGGGTGACGAAGGTAAGATTGATCCTTCCTCTCCTTTCTACCTTGGCTCAGGCGATCAACCCGGTAATCTGATTACTCACGTGATCTTGAAGGGTGACAATTATCTATCATGGTCTAGGGCAATTACTTTGTCATTTGAATCTAGACGAAAATTTGGGTTTGTTGATGGCACCATCTCCAAACCAACTGAAAAGAAGAAGATGCTCGATTGGGATATGATGAATTCCATGTTGGTGTCTTGGATATTGAGGGCCATTGAGCCAAAACTTGCTGCTTCAATTCCATCCTTTGATGAGGCCAAGCGACTTTGGGATTATTTAGAGAAGCGTTACTGTGAGGCTAGTGGTCCATGCCTACAACAGTTAAGGGCTTCAATCACTAATTGCAAGCAATTGCAACATATGTCTGTCAAAGATTACTATAACCAATTGATGGGATTCTTTGACAATTTGGTGCGTCTCAAACCTCCACATGGTTGTGAATGTGGAAATTGTTCTTGCAATGTGGCTGCTAAGTATGAATCGGATAGGCAGGAGGAGAAATTGCATCAATTTCTGGTCGACATTGATGATGTTAAATATGCGGTTGTTCGAACTAACTTGCTCTTGCAGCAGCCTCCCACGACTCTAGATCGTGCTCTTCAAGCCCTCATTCAAGAGGAGCGTTCTTGCAACATTGCTCAAACCAAGTCCCATGATGACAAGGCTGAGGCTCACGTCTTCGCTCTACCTGATCGTGGGAAGAACTTCTCTTTGCAACGTGATAAGTCAAAGTTATTCTGTTCTCATTGTCAACGACCAGGACATGATTATGATAGTTGCTTTATTGTTCACGGTTATCCACCTTGGTGGCTTGAAAAATTGGGAAAAGGGGGGGAACGTCTTCTGCCCTTGCTGCCTCGCGCTCTGCTGCCCCTGCTGCCTCGCATTCTTCTGCTGCTTCTCGCCCAGCACCGGCTGCTGCTGCTACTGATCACGGCAAGGGAGCAGTCCGCGCTCATGCTGTTGGTGATGTATCTTCCTCGCCATCACAGGACACCCTCTTTGCCTTAAAAGAATTGCAACTCGAGCATGTTAAAATTCTATTAAACATGATTAATAATCAGCAACATGATAAGATGAGTGGTGAGTATTTTTCCCTTTCTTAGATTATCGAAACGGGAGCTTCTCATCATGTAACCGGTGATGAGTCTTTCTTAATGGATGTGCAATCCATGTTACCGTGTCTTGTTGGTCTTCCCGACGGTGCTCAAGCTGCCACGAAAGAAGGGCGTGTGTTTTTGGCAGATGGCATCATTCTTAAACGTGTCTTATTTGTGCCAAAATTAAATTGCAATTTAATTTCGTGTCTAAATTAATCGATGACTCACATTGTTATGTACGATCATTGACTCACTTTGTGGTATACAGGACCAACACTCGGGGAGCCTGATTGGAAGAGGTGAACGAATAGATGGACTCTACTATTTCTGGCGGCTTCCTACAGTATGTGCGGTGACAGGTCCGGAGGTTTCCACTTTTGAGCTTTGGCATTGGCGTCTTGGGCATCTGTCAGACAGAGCTGTCAAGTTAGTTCCTGTTGTTAGTGCTAGTTCTGGTAGAAAATCATTGAATAAAGCTTGTGACACTTGTCCTCAAGCCAAACAATAACGGGATAGTTTCCCTAATAGTGATCGATAGTAGGGCTAGTCGTATTTTTGAGTTAATACATTGTGATCTATGGGGGTCTTATAAAACTCCTTGTACTTGAGGTGCACACTATTTTTTGACTTTAGTGGATGATTTTTCAAGAGGTGTTTGGGTATATTTATTGAATGACAAAACTGAAGTTTATTCCTTTTTCTTCTTTCTTTGCTATGATTCAATGTCAATTTGAAGTGTTTGTAAAGTATGTACGGAGTGATAATGGTACGGAATTTAGGTGTATGATTCCTTACTTTGATGAGCGTGGCATTCTTTTTCAAACTTCTTACGTTGGTACTCCCCAACAAGATGGTCATGTTGAGCGCAAGCATCAACACATTTTGAATGTTGCCTGGGCTTTGATGTTTCAGGGAAATCTTCCTATTGGTTTTTGGGGTGAATGTGTTCTTGGGGCGGTTTATTTGATTAATCGTACACCTTCTCGTTTATTGAACAATAAAACTCCATATGAGATTTTGTTTGGTAAAGAACCAAATTTTGAGGAAATGCATGTATTTGGTTCTCTTTGTTTTGCTCATAATCAAAAAGCTGAAAGTGATAAACTTTCACCTCGTAGTCGGAAATGTGTATTTGTTGGCTATCTTCATGGTAAGAAGGGGTTATTAGCCCGTCTTATGTGAAGACAACTGATCAACTCACGGATATATTTACTAAGGCCTTGAGTATACAACAATTCTCGTTTTTACTTGGCAAGTTGGGCATTTGTGATCCCCATGCTCCAACTTAAGGGGGGGTGTTAGGCCGAATAATGTAAGCTAATTGTGTAATGTATAGTTAGCTCTTTGGGTTTTATGTTGATAAGCCCAATTTAGATTGTATAAATACTCTTCTCTATAATAATACAAATCACGGAAAATTAATTATTGACAGTTATCCTCCATTTTAAACATTAATATGCATGGGATAACTTACAAAGAGTTCTTCTATTACTCACCTCCGTCCTTAAAGTTAGACTAAATTCATATTTTTTTCAGAATAAAAGGTCGTAATTTTCTCATTGGGATTGGACTTTCAACATGAGGTCATCAGATGATATGAACCCATGAACCCATCCTTTTTATGCAAGCATGCAATCAAAAGTTCAAAACCAAACTTGGTTAATGGATAGGATAACCTTATAGGGTAGTTAAGGCTTAAGTAGTCAAAAGGGCTTTTAGTGGACAAAATATAAAGGTAAGGCCAAATTTAAATGATAGTCCACCAATTTTGGAAAAGAAAATTGTTATGACAAAAAGATTACATGTATAGTTTTTATATCAACAGTTGTGCTCATTTTTATCTCTTGTTTTTCCTTACCAGTTAATTTATTGGTTTGCCTACTATCGAGATTGATTTTATTAGTCACAACTATAAATCAATAGATCTCCAATATCCTCATAAAAACCTGATCATTTTTTGTGGCCAAAAATACTCCACGATATAATTTTGTCAAATTAAAAACATGGGATTCGATCATTTTGGTTACCACCCTAGCAGTAAAATAGTAGAATATAATATTGGATGATTATAATCCCAAATATTAATAAAAACCTCTAAGTTTTGTGAAATATGATTACTAGTAATGTTTACTGCATACTCATTCAATTCATCAATAAATTATAAAATAATTTTAAATATGTAATCATGTACTGTTGTTTACATTATCATATCATCTTATAATCAAAAGCTATCACCTATAAGATGATAACCCTATCTTAACCAAAAAACAAAGTAGCATCAATTGGAACAAAGTATAATCTTAACTATAATATTAATTACTAGTATATTAATACAGTTGTAATGACAAAGCTAAGGTCAAAACTAAAATAACGTATGCTTATTGTTGGGCACGAATTCACGTATTAAATCTACATGGTGTTTAAGCAGGCCACAGTCGTCATCAACGTCTTTTTGCTTGACTAGTATGTATATAAAATAAATTAATACGAAGTACTATATTTTTAATTAAATTAAATAATACTTCGTATTATCTTTTTGATTGAATTCCCTTGGTTTAACTTTCATTTTCAATAAAATCCTTTTTGCATTTTCACATGGAAAATTGTTGGGTGAAAGCGATTGGCATGTGCAAATACGACTACGTCCAAGGTTTTACTAATTTCAATTATGCGTCATTGATTTTGTCCTCTAATTGTATTTTATAAGTTCATTAACTGTCAAATTTCTAGTTTTAGATTGAGTTTTGACCATATTTATACTATAATAATTATATGAAGTACCAATCGATCAAAAGTGTAAAAAAACTAATGTTGTAGTGACCACAAAGTGTCTTGTGCTACATAAGTGCGGCTATATATATACTTTTCGTTAAATTTTATGAATATAATTTTGGAAAAATAAATGGTCAAGGATCAATTTAACAAAAGCGTATGTGTAAGTACTCTAGTAGCTAAAACTTTGTATTGTGATATCAAAAAACATTTATTTTGTCTAAATTAAAAGGGAAAGAGATATAATCGATCGATCTCTTATATGATATACACCGCTCATTCAATTAATGGTGTGACAATGTGACATAATTATCATCAAGTCTTATAAAATCGTTATATATGATCTTAGCTATTAGTAACTTTGCAATTAATACTAGAAAAAATATTGTCATGATTAATTCCAACTTTGCTTCGTCCGTCAATATTAATTCTAACTTTCGTTTATTTTTTATTAATTCCAACTTTATACCCAATCTGCCAATATCACTTCCAACCGGTCATCTAACCTAATATTACAGGTTACAAGACACGTGTCAGCATATGATTGGCTTAAGAAAATAAAAAATATATAAACAAAAACACCAAAACCACCCCATGCCCAGCCCACTGCCACCGCCAGCCCAACCCCTTCCCCCTCCCCCGGAGCGTCAGCCGCCGTACAGACTTCTTCCCCTCCCCCGATGTCGGCGCTGCCCCAACCACCTCCCCTTTCCCCTTCAATCACCACGAACTCAAGCAAAACCCCTAAAATCCCAAACCCTAACCTTTCCCCTTCGATTTCCGGCAGAGGAAGGCTAGGGCGGAGAGAGAGATAGAAAAGGAATAGCAACGGAAGGCGGTTGCGGCGGCGGTGGGGGGGAGGTGCGGCTTGATGTTTTTCGGCAGTCGGGGAGGTTTTTTAAGGTTTTTTCGAGGGGAAGAGGAGGGATTACGGGAAGTTTTAAAGGGAAAGGGGATGGTGGTCGGGGCAGCGCTGGCACGGGGGAAGGGAAGGGGGTATGGGGGGCAGCCGGCGCTCGAGGGGATGGGGTTGGGTTGGCTGTAGGTTGCAGCGGCGTCTGACCATGGGTAGCAGCCTTGGTGGTTTTGGGTTTTTTGTTTCTGTTTTTTTTTTTTTTTTTTTTATCTTTTTTTATTTATTTTTTACTAATAACATGCTGACACGTGTATATTAAACTTTAAAAAAAAAAAAATTACCTCCTCTACAAGTTACCAAAAATAAACGAAAGCTAGGATTAATATTGACGGATGAGGCAAATTTGGGATTAATCATGACAATTTTTCCTTAATACTATCGATTCATTTAGCTACAGTAGTATAATTGCTTACCAATAACCCTTCTTATGCTTTTATCACCATCAATATTGCCCTTAATGCGTGCATTGTCATCATTAACATCATTACTTATCAATAGACCTGATCAAAGTTAGTCCGGCCCGAAATTTTATTTTTTTGGGCGGGTTTGGAAATTCGTTTTAGGCATTTTTAGTTGTTTTTTTTTTTTTGCCCGGCCTGAAAAGCCCTCACGACCCGACCATTTTGGGCGGGTTTGGGCACAAAAATTCCGACCCGAAGCTTGGCCCGGCACGAGAAGTGGGCTATTTTTTCGGCCTCGACCCGGCCCGGCCCGCCCAATGATCACCGCCTCTACTTATCAATTAACTCATTATGGACGATTGCAACTCTAACATTTTTCACATATATACATTGTTAGTATTCTATGTTCAATCCGCCACATCATCAACTAATAGCACGTGTGTCACATTAAATTATGTATAAGAATTTGAGAATGATGAAACAAAACATCTTTAACTAAATATATTTCAACTAAGAAGATTAATGTGTAATGCACCAATAAAATGAAGGTGATAAAGAGCTGACCTAAATTCATTTGAGCTTGGCATAACTTGACTTGGTTCTAATAAGTTTAAACTCTGGAACTTGAGCTAGTCAAGTAGAAAATTTTCAAACATAGCTTGTCTCATTTCTTGACTCGAGACATGTAACGACTTGCATGTACTTGTGTAAATCAGTGAATATAATTGTTTGTCATAAAATTATGTTTATCTTGTATTTTCGTTTTTTAATACTTAACGTCTTCCAATAATTGAGTTTGTTCACAAGTTTTTCGCTTAAACTTATATTTGCTCAAGTTAATTAGTGATATCGATAAAACTACTTTGAACTCAAATAAGCTCACTCGAGTCGTACTTTGACAGACTTGAATGAGCTCCGCTTGACTAGATTGCAAATAGGCCGGTTCGAATATCGTAATAGGCCGGTTAGAATACAAAATACTACGTGTACATTAATACTCCGTACTTAGTTAAAAAAAAAAAAAAAAAAACCTTTGCAATTGGTTGTCATTATTGTCCCTTAACCTAACTATTCGATTTATGACAAGGACTTTTATTTTGCTATGAAAGATCCATAAGAAATCTTCCTTGTCTAATCTCCGCCAAGTATATTTTAGAATTAGTCATGCCATTTAAAGTTTTAAACGGCATCAATTTCTCTTTTGAGGACTATTGGGCCTTTACGCCTTTACCAAAATTCACAATTGGTTGCCAAATACTTGTTTACCTCTAGTTAAGACTTAAGAGCTTATTTGAGTTATACCAACCCCTCCCCCCAACCACATTCCCACTATATAAAGTGATCAACATGTATACTAAGCCTCAATTAAAAAAATCACTTTAATAAACAAAATAAATAGTAAATAAAACAATAAAAATGTCTAGTTAGCATAATGTTCATAAATATCATAATCATAGCGTCTATATTTAATAAAAAATTAATAATTTATTTACAATTTTATCAAGGTTATAAATTTGTATTTTCTACTATAAATCAAGTGCACCACTCAAGAAAGTAATCAAAATGTGAGCATTGTAGAGCTAAACAATATAAATTACCTTGACCCGGCCAATTCAGGCCAAGTTGACCGAGACCATTACTCCTCTATCTATTGCCTCATTTGGTCCACAAATTTCATATACATGTCGAACCTAAGCTAACATGAAATCCGATTCATACAAAATATTATCAAACACATATACATTACTATCACTTTATCTCAAAATTAATTTAACTTTTGCATTATTTATATACCAACTTTAACTATTGATTTTATATTGTTATACAAATTAAAGGACATTGTTATTATCATTATGTAAAGGTTTCTTGATTAGTCACACATATCTGTCCATAATATCAACTTTTTATTGATTTAGCTAGTAGATCAGACAATTACAGATATTAATGGTCAAAGTTAATATTGACGTATGTGTCCGTCAAACTGATGTACTTATTCAGATACGAAGGAAGTATTACTTACTATGTAGTGTGGCATAATATAAATGGCTGAAAATGATTACATATATATAGAACACAAAAATGAGAAGGATTTA